GAGCAATATATTTTGATAAAAACGTTTTAAATAAAAAATATGTACATAAACACTTATGGTCAGCTGATTAAGTGACATTTTGACCAGTTTTGGCTATTTTTAATTTTTATTATTTTCTTTTACAAAAGCCTCAGACAATATATGGACAATTCAGACAAACTTCTAATTTTTTTTTAGAAAAAATTCTAACCTGTACACCACAGCGGCCGCCACGAGTAATTTCATAAAAAACTTAACTTTTGCTATATGCCAAAAAAACTTTGGCATTGTATTGCCAAAATACTATAGGTAGATATTCACCGAATTGAGCAAGTGGCCTGGAACTCTGGTAAAAAAGCTGTTGACAACAGTCGTTCCTTGAGAAAATCTGCTCTTTTGCCAGAGTGCCTCGCCACTTTTTCAATTTGGTGAATATCCCTTTCTATATTAAAAGAAAGTATGTGGTACCGTTACATGGAACTGAGGCGACCAACGTCCAGAACGTACTTCAATTATGAAGGGAACACTTTTCCACCCTATTGAATGGTAGCAGAACTGGAAGTAGAGGAGAAGACAAACCCGAGTCCCCAGTCGATGTCCCGCCGCCTGACTATAACGAAGTACGAATAGGGATTACGCGGCTGAAAAACAACAAAGCTGCTGGAGCTGACGACCTGCCAGCCGAGCTATACAAGCATGGCGGCGAGCAGCTGATAAGGTGCGTTCATAAACTCTTATCAGATGAACGCATGCCCGACGACTGGAATTTAAGTGTGCGCCAACTACCGCGGGATCAGCGTTTTAAGCATAGGTTATAAGGTCTTATCGAGCGTATCATGTCAAATACTGAAGCCACCGTCAACAAACTGATTGGACCTTATCAGTTTGGCTTTAGACCTGGCAAATCCACCATAGATAAGGTATTCACAATACGCCAAATCTTGGAAAAGCCCGCAACAATAGGATCGACACACACTATCCATTTGTCGATTTCAAAGCCGCTATCGGCACCACGAAAAGAAGTTCTCTTTATGTAGCAATGCCTGAATTTGGTATTTCCGTGAATCTAATACGGCTGTGTAAAACGACCATCAGCAATACCACCTGCTCGGTCAGAATTAGGAAGGACCTCTCCAGGTCTTTGCCACCAAACGGGACTTCCCTTTCGTGTGATTTCTTTAATCTTATGTTGGAGAAGATAATAAGAGCTGCAGAACTGAACCACTCAGGAACAATTTACTACAAGAGCAACCGTACGCCGATGACATCGACATGATCGGAAACAAAAATCGCGAAGTATGTTCTGCTTTTTCCATGTTGGATGAGCACGAATTCTACGTTGAACTGAGTATGTAAAGTCCTTTCTCGACGTTCGAGTACCACACTCTATACCAGGGTTGTTGCGAATATTCGCAGTCGCATTCGCAACAGCGAAGCTTCCGCACTAATTTTAACATTCGCTTTCGCATTTGCAATAATCAATGCGGAGCTTTTGCGAATGCGAATGTTGTGCAAGGGCACCAGTGTATATCTGGCAAACAAAATGACAAATTGTATCCAATATTTGATAAAAATGTCTCTAAACATACTATGGGTATTCATGGAAATGCTTAAATGCCTCGAACCGCGTAAACCTCGCAAATAATTATATTTTTCATACAAAATTAAGCAAATTTACGAGGTTTACATGGTTACGAGGCATTTGCGCGATTTGATGAATTGTCTTATTAATTTTTAAGCTATATAACCGAGCTATCAATGGGCAGTCATACAAGTTTCCATTTCTACTTGACCTTTGACGTATTTGTCAAAGTTTGACGTACGTCAGGGAAAACATAGTCCTTTTAAGAATTTTTTTCTATGCTTTAAATACCTGCATTGGTTTCTTTTTTTCATTGATTTTTTTGGACCAATCCTAAAAAAAAAAATCTACTACAAAAGAATAACGTGTACATTGTAATTCTTAACCAAATTTTCGTGATTTGCTTTTGATGTTACATATATTCGTTTCAATCATTTCAAATGAAGCTCTTTTGAGAATTTATTTCTATTAAAAATTTAAAAAATAGTGATTTTGTTTACTTGTCGGGCTGTATTTTTTTCATACGGATATACACTGGATCCTTGGCTAAAAACTTTTGTGGTAAAAAAAACTGTCCCCCTACGTCTCCCTTTTGTGCTATCTAAAGTCAAAGAGTAAGGTCCTTCAATAGGGATTTCCAGCAGAAATGATCAATGTCTAGCTGTTAAGAGACTCGATGCTCAAATAATTAAAAAGATATAGGTCTGACCTTTAATTAGATAAGAATTACGTAACTATCTGAGACCCCCTTCATCCGTAATTCTAATAATTCAAATACTTATAAAAAACGGGGTGCTGTTTTTTTTATTACAATATTTTGATCCGATTCGGCTGGCAGCAACGACTTTGAAAACAGAATTTTGTTCAAAATTTTCATTCATATCCATCCATGGTACCATGATAAAAACATGGCTAGGTAGAACCGTTCTCTCATTTTGTCGGCCATGATTTTTTTTTGAAGTGTGCCAGCATTTTAAAATCATAAAAATTTAAAATAAAAATTTGAAATTGTTCGAAATTGTTGTTGCTTGAGATTGAAAATGAATATGTGTGTGAGTTTGTGAGTAAATTTAAAAATTAAAATGTTTGGAAACGTCAAGAATTTTAAAAGTAACTCTCAGCGGTTCTACCTTACTATATTTTTATCATGCATGGTACAATAAAAACAGGTAGAAGCCAAGTTGACGTCAAACCTACAAAGGTCAAATATTTCGGGAGAGTAAAAATAAAAATGAGCGTGTGTAAGGAAAAATAAAAAAATACATTTCACTGGTTGACGTTTTTAAGTATATTTGAAGTTTATTCTTATTTATTTATTTTCTTTAGTTAAAATTTGTTAAATTGTATGTGGTTTTCTGTTTTTGGTTTATGAGTTGCAGTGTTGTTGGAGGGACTTTTCGGCATAAGGGTCATAGGAACAGCACTTGGCATCAAACGTACCTTTCCTGTACCTCCCGGTGTATTTGTGGAATCTACTTCTTTAAAATATTTAACGCACAGCAAGGCATTTCACTGCAGCTCTGCCCACAGCTACTTTCGCAACGCTCCTTACGCGAAGGACATTGAGGCACGTTAAAAAATTAGTGGTATCTGCTTTATATTTAACACCACATAATAAAAACAACGCCTCAGGTGTTGCATTTTTAACACATACACTAAGTATAAACCGCACAACACTACAAAAATTCAAATGCTAATTAAAATTTGTTATTAACGAACATTCAAAAAAAAACAACGATATGACATTCAAAGCGTAACGAAATATAGGAAATAAAATAAAGTCAAGTTGAAGTTTAAAGGTTTGGTTCTCATGAGAGCAACGTCATTTTGGCTTCTACCTGTATTTATGTGCCTTGATATCCATCTATTTAGCTCGCTATAAGCACAAATTTTTCAAACCTGTCGCAGAAGAAAGTATTAAAAATTAATTACAAAAACTACAATCAAAAAATGCAGATGACGTTACAGGTTCCCCAAATTCTGAAACAGCCAAAGGAATGAGAATGAATAATTATTTTTAAAAGCTTTAGAAAAACCTGACACATCTGGTTTGGCTTGTAAGTACTGTTTAAACAACGATTCCGCATTCGCATCCGCGGATGTCTAAAATTCCACATTCGCAACATCCCTACTCTATACATAAGTCATTCGTCATGCCCGTGGTGGTATATGGCGCAGAAGTATAGACAATGACAACATCCGATGAGGCGGCTCTTGAAGTATTCGAGAGACATATTTTGCGGAAGATTTACGGTTCTGTACGCATTGGCGACTACCTCAGACGATGGAACGAAGAGCTGTATGACATAGATATAGTGCAGCGAATTAAACTATCGTTGAAATGGGCACCGACGCTTAGGCTTTTAAAGTATTCAACTCGGAACACGCGGGTGATAGCAGAGGAAGTGGGAGGGCCCTCTGCGATGGAAATACCAAGTGGAGAAGGATTTGGCTTCACCTTTCATTTCCAATTGGCGTTAGTTGGCTTTGTTGAGCTCGGCCAAAATTGCTTACAGGCTAACCTAATATTCACGCACGCCGCTAATTTATTGTCAAAAATTTCTCATGCACATGCAACTTGTATGAGATCAACCGAAATTGAACGGCGTGCGTATGAAGCTAACTCAATTTCCAATTTTTGTTCTGCGTGACATTTTGATTTGACGTTTCGCTCAATGAAATCAAATGCAAACGCATGCAAGTCAATTTCGGGTGAAAAAAACAAATTCGACGGCATGCGTACCAAAACGCAAGCCGCGAATATTAGGTTAGCCTGTTAGGCGGTTACTGCGCCCAATAATAATAAGAAGAAAAAAGGTTTTGATGAGCTTTGAAAAAAGTATATTTATTTTGAAGATCGAAGCTAGCTAATTTCGTAAAGCCCGTAAAATCATAGGATAAATAAAGTAAAGGACAATCGACTTTTTTATGCTAAATTAATTATTTAACCTATTTTAATACAAAATAAGTACTATTTAAGATAAATTTATTACATTCATCGCGTCTACCGTAATCGACGCACAATGTAAGTACCTAACAATTTAACGCATTTGAAACTTATGTGCTGAATATTCGATTTTGCAACACTATGGTCACACGAGGTCCAGTGAACCCCAAACCAAAATATGTCTGTATAATCTATCCGACTTTAGACCACGACGCCACAATGGCCTTCCAAACGGTCTGTAATTATTGAAATAAAACCTAGTAGTAACAGTAGTAACAAAATCGATTTTAAATAGTTTCTATCATGATAAAAATATAGTAAGGTAGAACCGCTGAGAGTCACTTTTAAGATTCTTGACGTTTCCAAACAATTTAATTTTTAAATTTACTCACAAACTCACACACACATTTTCATTTTCAATCTCAAGCAACAACAATTTCGAACAATTTCAATTTTTTATTTTCACTTTTATATGATTTTAAAATGTTGGCAAACTTCAAAAAAAAATCATGGCCGACAAATTGAGAGAACGGTTATACCTTGCTATGTTTTTATCATGGTTTCTATATAAAATATACATATAACAGCAAAGATCATCTGGGTTCCACTGAACTCCGTGCGACGGATTTTAGCATAACATTAGAATATATCTACTTATTATATAATGATATGTTTGGATTACATTTTTGTTAGAATGGCTTCAAAATACATACACTAAATTTAGTAATATTTTGACAAAGATATGTATGAGCTAGATTCCTGTGAGTTTTGCTTATTAGAAATCAGTGTCCTTATGTGGTGATGATGGGCTGCAAGCATCCTTGAAATTCGTTGCATTCAGCGACGAAAAGTAGTCTTCGTGCAGAAATCGAATGATGTTCTCGATTGGGCAAAGGTCTGCTTTGTTACCTCGACTATCTCGTGTAATTCTTAGACTTTTGCCACCTTCACAAAAATCGATTTGTTGTGTCACATCCCGACCATTGTAGACTGCCCTGAAGTAATAATCCGTATGTGTTTCGCTTTTATAAAGTTCAAAGGCCAATCGAGTTGCATAAGATATAAATGTATTACCAGTTCTTATACCCAATGCAGCAGTTAGATATTGCAGAGTCCAATCATGGCCCGAGTATAGTACAAATTGGGTTCGGTCACCGGATATCATCCGCAGCATATAGCTGACTACGTGACGCATCATGCCATAAGCCCGAAGGAGTCCGATTCGTTTGTAATAAACATGTTCAGCATTTTGCGTTGACTGCCAATTTTCGTATGCCATCAGAGCGGTTACGTGTGACTGTTCGACACACCCCATCACGTTTTGACCATCGGCTTCATCATTCAATGCTTTTTCAGGTACGTAATGAGTTTCTACTAAGTTTCCAACTTGTTCATCTTGGTCGATATTAATGACATCATTTAAATCGATTGCATTTAGTTGTGTAGTTGAAAATAGCTGCGTATTGTTTAAAATAGAATGCCGACAAGGTAACGGCGCATCGTGGCACAAAACCGTGTTTAGCACATCAAGAACGTCGTGGACATTATTTACTCCGTTTGGGGTTTGCTGCAGCAAAGTACCACCCACCCATTGGATGACTTTACTAATGTCCGGTTGAAAGGTTAAGTTCAACTTCTGTTCAACTTTTCGTCGTTTGAGCAAAACTTCTGCTTGCTGGCAGGCACAATCGGTAAAACAAAACGCCATACTGTGAGACTCCCGGATATTCAAGGATAACCACTTCTCATTGGGCAGGAAGGTGAAGAGTAATGCTAAAGCTGATTGGAAAGTTCGCCTGTAGCGCGTGGAAAATAATACCACTTCGTCGGAGTTAAGCAATGAATTTGGTGTTGAAGCGCCACCCATTGAAGATCTATTTGAAGTTTGCTTAATAAGCAGCCCTAATGGATGAGCATAAATCTGGTGCAGAATATCACCGACATGTAACATCTGGGCCACACCCCTGTGAAAAAATAAGAATAACAAATGGTTCAACGTTTAACGCATAAACATTGATTTATATGTGTATTTACATTAGGTTGGCTGTTATAAGATATTTTTCTAAAATTAAAAAAGGGCTGCGCGGAATTTAGTCTCAGTGGGATAAGAGGAAGATGTACCCCTAGGACCTTAGTCTTAAAATCTAAAAAATCGCTGAATTCACACGCATACATATGTAGGTGCATGCTTAAATACATACATGAGACATACATGGATTTGTTTCTACAAAATATCAATTGATAAAAAATTACCTACTTGTAGTTAGCTTTTTTGTGGGATCTCTAGAAAATATATATATAATTCAACGGCCGAAGCAGTTGGCCGGTGAGCAAACCCGAGGCAACAAAAAATAACCAAGCAATAAACATGAAGCATATTTATCAACATACTAGCTGTACCCTGCCACGCTTTGCTGTGGCATATTTCTGTTATATGGACGATAAATTATTAACGAAACAAAGCATACGTTTCATATGTGTTTGGTTATGTAATAAGTACTCGTGTGCACACAATATTTGTTATTTTTCCATTCTCTGCATAGATATCAAGGATATCTGGTTTGCCGACAATGGAAGACGCAACATCTCAGAAGCAATCCACACCTTAATCTAAACCATACTTTTCCAAAGTTTGACCTGGAGCATTATTGATTGTAATTCCGAATGTCAATCGAATTGGCAATTGCAATCTTTTAAATTGAAGCATCATCATTAAATGGATTCATGGGAATTCTTCACCTTTGAAAGGCCACGTTAAAATCTTTGCTTACATTACGTTCTTCGTCAATTTCTTAACTGCGAGTCGCATTCCGTTGCAGAGTTTTCGCTGATTAATATTCCGCAAAATGATAATTGGCACACCTATTTTCAATTTCGGTATGTGGGATCTCCCTGGAAGATCAATCGAGTTCAAAAATTTCGTTGGATGGTCTTTTTCCACAACGGTGTTTATTGACGTATATGCTATTTCCTCACGTTGAATGCTGGATTGAATAACATTAGTGGTATTCACCAAAGTGAGCAAGTGGTCTGGCAGTCTGGTAAAAGAGCTGATCAGCTCAAGCAACGACTGTTGTCAATACCACTATTATTTAGTTGATAGACCTCCTTATTCTTCGCAGCAAGAATAGCCCGTTCACTGAGCCAATCGTGATTCCTAAAATTAATTTTCTTAAAAAAGAAACATTCTTTCGAGCAGTTCTCCTTTCGATGTTTCTAATTTACAAAAATTATCAGGCCATAAAATTCGTCTTCATCTCTCATTGACTGGCAGCTTTGCGTTCCCAATGTCCAGTTATTGTCGCGCGAATACTTCAGCTGCAGTGTATGTATGTTCGTCTTGTCGCAATGTTGATTATTTCAGGCAAGCATTTATCTCCTGTGTTAATCGAGAAACTACAGACAATGTTTTCGTAAAATCTCCTGCGAGCAATATCAGTGCATTCCCGAATGGTTGAACGTTTCCACGCAAATCCCGCAACAATGTATCAAAAGCCTCAAACGATTTTTTATGTGCCAAGGTGCACTCATCCCAAACAATGAATTTAATTTTTTGGTAAACTTTTTCTATACCGGATGATCTGGAAACATTGCACGTGGGAATTTCGATGATTTATATGTTCAATGGCAGCTAAAGAGCTGAATTGGCAATGTTTCCACCTGGTAATAATGTCGCAGCAATTCCAGACGAAGCGATAGCTAAGGTAATGTAATTTTTTGATCGAACCGTTGCCAGAATCTATCTGATAAGGAATATTTTCCTAGTTCCTCCTGGCGCATCCAAAAAAATGGTCCCCCAACTCCGTCATTTATCATTTGCATATTCTTCTTCTACTTTGGCTTTGTAACCGCCTAAGCCATTTTGGCCGAGCTCCACAAAGAACGCCAGTAATTTCTCTCTGTGCCAACTTGGTCTGCATTGCAATGGGTGATTCCTATTCGTCTGCTACCACCATCGGCTTGCGAGTTGAATTCTTTTACACCTGAAACTTCGGTTCCTATTGAACGACATGTCTAAGCCAGAGGAGCCGCTCCATGTTCATTCGCTGCACTATGTACATTTAGTTGTAAAGCTCATACAACTCATCGTTCCATCGTCTACGGTAACCCCCGTCGCCCATGCGTAGAAGCCTGTATATCTTCCGTAAGATCTTTCTCTCGAATACTCCAAGAGCCGCCTCATAAAATGTTGTCATTGTCTAAGCTTCTGCGGCATATAACAGCTCGGGCATGATGAGTGACTTATAGAGTGCGGTTTTTGTACGTCGAGAGAGGACTTTACTCCCCAATTGCCTACTCAGTCCAAAGCAGCACCTGTTGGCAAGAGTAATTCTGCGTGGGTTTTCCATGCTGATATTTTTATCGGTGATAGTGCTGGTTCCCTAGTAAATGAAATTCTCCACTTTCCCGAAATTATAACTGTCAACAGTGGCGTGGGTTCCAAGGCGCGAACGCGGTGACTAGAGATACTTCGTCTTGTCCTCGTTTACCACCAGGCGCATTCGCTTTGCTTCCTTGTCCAGCTTGGAAAAGTCAGAAGAGACTTCGCTATTTTTGTTACCGTTGATGTCGATGTCATCGGCACACGCCAGAAACTACACGCCCTTGTAAAAAAATGTTCCCACATGGTTCAGTTCTGCAGCTCTTATTATCTTAACATTTGCATCGTGCGATCGTAAATGCTCTTCTGCTTTCGCTTTAATTTGGGAATCCTTGATAGGGAATAGGAGTTCACAATAGTAATGATAATCATAATAATATTATCTCATGTTATTCAAAATTTCTTTACTCGCAATATACGTAGTAGGCCTTGGCGAACCCAAACAAAATTGCTTACGATTAAAAGTTGACTGATTTATAATGCTAGGGAACGGTGTCAACAATTTTATGTTTTCATTAAGTATTTTTTAAACAGCTTTCATGCAATAGTTTTTTGTTTTCGGTACTCTTTTATCATTTTGTTATTTGTTTCAGTAGTTTTTAGCCGACTTCAAAAAAAAGGAGAAGGTTATCAATTCGTCGGATTTTTTTTTATGCATGTTACCGCATAACTTTGGACCACGTCACCCGATTTCCAGGTGATCCCGTACTAATTTGGTTTAGATCCGATCATTGGAAGAATTGGAGTCGGTGTGTGTGTTTGCTTCAAAATTACTTGCTTATGAATTTTTTACATTAAGTAATTTGTGTCCCAGCTCTTCGTTGATAATATGATCACTTCGTGTGATAAGATGTTGTAAATTCTATATTTATTTACAATGTTCGGATTTTCTATAAGTGGAAAGATTTAAAAAAATTCCCTAGTAAAGCTTTCCCAAATAATTTTCGTCTGGAACCAGTTATGTAATATTTCATTATTATTTCAATTCAATTTCAATATTTTCAGTCTTTACTTTTAGATAGGTGATAATCCTATAAAAAATATTTCCAAATCAAGATTTTTCCCATATTGTTCCTCAAACATATTTTCGATTGTAAGTCTTCTTAAAAATCTTTAGTTTGATATCTACATTGCAATATTTCATTTATTTAATCAATCCAAAACGGTCCACCCTAATGCTTAATAATATATGTACATATGTACGCATACATGTACACATGTCTTTATTAGAAACTGTCATAAATTTTTCCCGCCAAATTAACCATTTTTTAGGCACTCCGCACATTACGCGCCTAATCATAGTAGAGTAATCGTTTTGGCATGTCAAAACGAATGCATGACGACTCGACTTCTGCACACTTGGGCGCCCTGCGTAAGCCCTACTTGCGCGCACATTACACATTTTCTGGCCGGTCTTTCTCACTAATACACTTCCGCGAACATTTTTGTAATAAAATATTGCATACACGTTTATGGCTTAATACAATTGGCACGAGTTTTAGCACAAAATCATTAATTTTCAATTATTATCTACTGAAATGACAAACAATTTTTATTTCGAGCACAAAAAAGTAAACAAATGCCGATATCAAAACGGCAAGCGCCTTACAATGTTGGGCGCTTCGATTCATGAAGTGTTTGGCTGAATTTCTTTATTCATTCTGAACGTTTGGAATAAACTTTTTTGTTTACTTATTCTTTAGAACGTTCCTGATGATATGTTGACGTATATTTCAAAAGCATTCTGTTTATTCCGGCTGTGAAATGGGATTATCCGGAATGTATAAAGAAACGCAGCCTTTATGATTAGGCGAAAACATGATTATGAATCGTAACATACAGAGCTTCATTGAAATACATGTGTTCGGTATAAAAGCTTCATACTTTAGTACGCCGGAACGATTACACTACTATGACTAGGCGTTTAATGTACGGAGTGCCTTAACTTACCCTCAAAACAGTTTTACTGCTTTGAGGTTGAACTCAATTCTATTGAAAAGAGCGCGGGTACTTATTTTCCCGTATTCAACCAGGAACGGCCGTCAGCCACCACACATCGTCCGTACCCGCTCTACATTTGTACATATCCATAAAAAAATAATAATAAATCAAACATATTTGACAAGGGACTAATTTTTCGTTGGTTTATTTATTTTATCGCTTTATATTGAAAATACATTGGTGCAACATACTAAGCTTTCGAGTTAAAATTTTCAGAAAGGTGGCAACTCTCCTCAAAAATATTTCCAACAGTCATCTATCTTAAACTTCCTTAATTTAATACCTATATTTTAATAAGTCATTTATTTTATCGACTATGCATATTTAGTTAAATTTTCAAACAGGTGGCAACCCTCCTCAAATATATTTTCGGCCGTAAACCTTAATATTGAAATACTTCATTTATTTATTTTTGTAATATAAATGATCCTGCTATGATACCGAACAATACAAAAAAAAATTATTCAAATCAATTCAGCGGTTCTCGAGTTTCGATGACCGTGACATAGGAACACAACATTTTTATATAGATAAATATAGATTTCTAAATCAAGATTTTTAAATGCCTTTAGTTTGATACCG